CTATAGCTAAATGTCTGCCTTATTTGACCGGCCACTCATTTTAAAATCCTGATACAATATTATATATGATCTTCCTATCTGATTTCCCATATATAAATACTAAGGAGTCGTGACTTTCCCCCAACATCTAAGCATCGGCAAATATTTCTCCATAATCGATCAGCTAAGTATTAGCAATTCAAAGCTTCATAAAAAATCAATTCTTCATTATATTTGGTCCTTGAGCTATTAAATTGACAAGTTCGGGTATGAATTCCGAGAAGGATATCGTCCGGCCTGTGGTCAACTTCTCCCCTAGTTTATGGGGTGACTGCTTCTACTCTTACTCCATTGACAATAAGGTTATTCATTTTCTTCTTCTTTTCATGACTGGAATTTAACTCCTACATATATCAAGAGATCAATAGTTTATAATTGCATACTGATTTATTTCTGCGATTGCTTTCGTTGTTTCGTGGGTAAAGAATTTCATTTTTTTGCCTTGTTCATTTTGTTACTTGAAAATGGTAATGAACCGAACTAATCGATTTTTTAAATTAACAGGAACTTATTATATGATAATAATCTATACCCCTGATTTTATTTCCTATGTGGATATATTAATTATATTAATATAATTACTCAAAGAAAGCTTTGATATAATATACGGACTATATATATACGTAGTATCAGTATGCATTACTTTTAAGCTACTGCACAAATGTGTAGTGTAGTAGTTCATATGTATTACATGTGGGTACTATTATGCATTTCTGATTATTTTTATTGAAAATTATAATAAATGCAACATATATTATTCATTGTTTCAAATTAATCCCTGTAAGGAAATTATTAATTTGAATGACTTTTAGTACTAGTGTGGAATAATTTATACATTTTATCTCACGGTTATTATGCTGCTTCTATTATATTGGTTTCAAGTAGAGTTTTGTTCTAATAGGTTGCGGAAGCATATGCAAAAGAGATCGAAAGTTTGAAGGAGCAAACAAGGGAAATGTTGCTTGGTTTTAGCAACGAAAAAGTGGTTGAGAAACTAAAACTCATTGACTTACTAGAACGACTTGGTATAGCATACCATTTTGAGAAAGAGATTGAAGAACAACTCCATCATATTTTCTTATTGCATGGTCCCCAACACTCTTTTGATGATTTGGAAATGGTTTCTCTTCAATTTCGCTTATTGAGACAACATGGTTTCAAGATATCTTCCGGTAATCATAAAAAAATCCATTTTTGTTTAATCCATTAAAGCATGCACTTACCATTTTAATGTGTGTAATATGAATAATATTACATGAAGTTGTATGAGCGTATATGGTTTTCAATAAAAATATTCTTACATATTATCTTTTCAAATGTAGATATATTCAACAATTTTGTTGATAGAAGCGGAAAATTCAAAGACACCACTGATGTTAGTGGTCTATTGAGTTTGTATGAAGCTTCATATGCGAGCACACATGGTGATGATGTGTGTGATCATGCACTCGACTTTGCCATGACTCGTCTTCAATGTGAAGTTCCGCATTTGAAATCCAACACTACTTTGGAGAAGCTTGTGTTACATGCCCTCGAACAACCACTGCACACCGGAATGCCAAGAATTGAAACGCGCTTTTTTATTTCAGTCTATGAACAAGAAGAGGACCGAATTAGGAATGACGTGCTTCTTCGCTTTGCCAAGTTAGATTTTAATTTTTTGCAGATGTTGCACAAACAAGAACTTAGTGAAGTGTCAAGGTGAGCTACTAAGTTTCAAGATCATTTGTCTACATATATGTATGCATGTATGTATGTCCAATTCTTTTACGAATTAATTTAATTTGTTACTTTCCTTAAAAATGCAGGTGGTGGAAAGAGCTTGACTTTATGACAAAACTTCCTTATGCAAGGGACCGAGCAGTTGAATGTTATTTTTGGGCGCTTGGAGTGTACTTTGAGCCTCAATATTCTAAGGCTCGAGTTATGCTTGCTAAGAATATTTTAATTGTTTCCATTTTAGATGACACCTATGATGCATATGGTACCATAGAAGAACTAGACGTCTACACCGATGCTATATGCAAGTAAGTACAAATTTTATGTAAATTTTAAGTGCAAGAGAGAATAGTCGTTTACATGATCATGTCATTTTGTATATGTTTACTATGGTCTTATGTTTAATTTATCTTAATTTTCTTTCGGCTTTAGGTGGGATATTCGTGAAATGGACCGACTTCCAAACTATATGAAGTTAAGTTACAAAGCATTGCTAGACCTTTTTTATAAGGATATCATTGAGCTCTCTCAGGATGAAAAAACATATGTTGTTAAACACGCGATGGAAAGAGTATGTATACTATCTTAGCTACTTCATTCACATAGTCATTTGATATAATTTTCGCATTATCTTCCTTTATAAAGTTATTATTTTTTACAACTATTGAGAACGCTGATATATAATTATTATATTAAATAGATGAAGGAACTTGTGAGATGCTACCTTATTGAAGCAGAGTGGTTCATTGAAGGACATAAGCCTGTTTTTGCTGAGTACTTGAGAAATGCATTCGTTAGTTGCACTTATTATTTGCTTGCCACAATATCATGCTACGGTGTGAAGTTAGCCGATGAGAAGGTATTTGATTGGCTCAGCGGAAATCCCAAAATTCTTGAGGCAAGCGTAACATTATGCAGAATTATCGATGACATAGCTACCTATGATGTAAGTCATTACTTTGTACTTTAGTATCAAATTGTATACCTTAGTGAGTTAGTGCCTAAATTATATGTACTTTTATTATGAGAAACTCAAGTGGATAATCATTGCTACTCATTTTATTCTAATAGGTTGAGAAAGATAGAGGACAGGTTACAACAGGTATCGAATGTTACATGAGTGAATATCATGTATCTCTTGAAGAGGCGAGAGAGACGTTCCAAAAGATGGCCAAATTTGCATTGAAAGATTTGAATGAAGGAATTCTGAAGCCAACACCTGTTTCGGGAGATATTCTCTGGCGCATTGTGAATCTTGCTCGCATTGTCTTTGTTACGTACCAACACAACCAAGACGGATATACACATCCTGAAAAAGTCTTGAAACCACATATCACTGCATTGCTAATTGACTCTGTTCCACTCTAATGAATTAATAGTTATGTCTATTAGTTCAAGCGTATTGATGGATTGCTTGCGTGCGGCAATGCATGTGTCCACACTTTACAAATTTAATTAAATATCATGTTAATCCAATTACATGCATGTGTGTACTATCTCATATAGTAACATGTATACTATCTCATTAATAAAGTTCATGTAACATGTATCTCATATAGCCTTTTAATATAATATCTCTTCATTCCATCTCATATATGACATTCAAATTTAAAACACCCTATGTGAGCAATTGATAAACCACTACTTCGTAAATCGTAATAACTAATACTCCGTGTATAAATGAGCTAAAACTCACATTTTGGTAGAATACTAATTTAACTATTCACTCGTTTTAACTGGCCGGTTGTCCATTAATTATTGTATATCGTAAGTATGATCTAATTAAGCAAGATACTTGAGTATTTAGTGGAAACAATTTGAGGTCAGTGGTGGCCTGGTGGGAATCGTGGGATCGGTAAACCTCGATCAAAAGTACGTAGTATTTATTAGTTGGAAATGCTTTCAAAGACCCACTCCAGTTTAATCTATATAAACTTTTTCCAACAATTAGTTCTTCATTTAACATATGTATGTGGCTTTGTTGGTTATCGGTTATATAACCAACTTATAAGGAGTAAAATGAACCATATTAAAAAATAATGAGAATTAAGGCATAAGTAGATTTGTATAAAAAATCTCATATCAACTTCAGTTTGAAACTTTAAAAATTCTTTGCACCTCCTTTCGACGTTTTGATGACCAGAAACTCAAGTATCTCATTTTGCATAGACATACTTTTCCAATGCAATGGATACATGTTGAAACCAAAACTCCATTATCCATATTTTTAAAACGGTGTGATGATCTCAAAAAGTACTACCGGTGAACCTGAACATGCTTTTTGCTCCCATTAACAAAAAGAGAGAATTCCATAAATTATAAATAGGAGTAAAAACGTTTTGAAATTCCAAAATAGGAGTATCATGTTTTTTATTCCCTAAATAGGAGTAAATTTCTGCCAAGTTTGGGCATTACAAAGTTTTAAACATGGCATTTTTTTTCAAACTTGGCAGATTACTCCTATTCAGGGAATAAAAAACATGATACTCCTATTTTGGAATTTCAAAACGTTTTTACACCTATTTAGGGCAAATTCTGTAACAAAAAAAATGAAGGAATGTAAAGTGTAAAAAGAATTGCAAAAGTTAACTGCACAAAGATCAAGTGTAGAAAATGATATTTACTTGGTTGGGTGAAAAATTAGAAGGATAAGGTCATAAGGAGTAAGGGTAAACTATGCTTGTGTACTTAAAATGTTCAGTGGAAAACCATTTTGGGACAGCTATAGTAGGAAATTTTGCAAAGTAAATTGGGAAAAAAGGGGCATGAATATAAGAATGTTACGTAGGAACATTATGAATACGAATATACGATACGGAATTTAAACGAGCAATGCAACAGAATTCCCCCATGGTTGTATGACCGTTGAGCTGCAATGTACAGTATGCAAAGCAAGCGAGAATGAAGCGGATAAAAGCTCCAGACCCGAAATAGAATCATTCAATTGAGTACAAATTCAGTGGCCTGAACAAATCCTAATACCATTTATAAACCCGTCCAGTGTTGTAGCCTGTAGTTTTCGGTAATCCGGTTACAAGACTGACTGGTACTAATCCAGCCAGGTCAGGTGCAAAATCAGGACCATGCCCATCCTTAACAAAAAACAATGTCACCATAGGTTGAGGGATCCAAGAGTGGAATCAACTCTTTAATGATTTACAGATGATTAATTTTGTTGAAAAACAAAAAATAGAGATGATTTATGTGAGCAGTGACTCATCTTCCGTACTTCACCAACACATTATAATAAAATTATCATAGACAACATTAACAAATACTAGCAATTAAAAAAACATGTCTACAAATGTGTTATATTACACTCCTACCTCTTCTTTCTATCCAGAAAGTGTGAACTATAATATCTCCCCATCACTCAACCTACCCACCACATACACAATGAGCATCTCATGAAAGAAGATCCTAATCTCCCACTATATGGCAATTGGGTGTGCAGCTTTGACATATACACAAATATGAAGAAAGTATTCAGGGTTTACCAAGTTTTTCACCACCCAAGCAAAAGGGATCTCCGTCTTTGGTTCTATTCCTTGGATCCTAACAAGTTTGATTCTCCATTATTTGATGCTTCTCCACCAGTTTCCTTAGTGCTGGTAAAGTTTGAGAGTGTTTGCAATTGCTACTTTAAAAAAGTAATTTTTTAAAGTGATTTTGGGAAAAGTGATTAATAGTAAAAGTTGGTAGTGTTTGAGAAAAAAGTTATTCTGGAAAAGTAAAAGTTGGTAGTGTTTGGTAAAATAAGTACTTTTTGTGTAATATAAAAAGTGAGAAGCACTTTGAAGCACCCTTCTACCTGCTTCCAGCTTTTAGCTTTTTAGTGATTAATTTAAGCAGAAGCTGTCATTTGAAAACACTCTTTTCAACTTTTTTTAAGCCAAAAGTTGAAAAGCGCTTTTTTTAAGCAAACCCAAACACTCCTTTTGTCTCTTCTAAAGCCGATTTTTCCCCTCGCCTTCTTCCTCCTCTCTGCAGGTGATGTCTTCCATAAAAACCTCAGGAAGAAGCGCTTTTACTGCTTCACCCAATGTGAAGAGCTTGTCTGCAGGTACACAATTAAATTCCATAAACTTTGTGCATTTTACCAAGGAAAGAATGGCTCTCCCACACACAAGGACCACAACCCAAATTTAAAATACATCGTCGTTGGTAGGGCTGAAATATTCTAGCCCATTTTTCCCATGTCAGAATGAGTAGTACATAACTTATACAAGAGAAGTGGGACATGAGATTTTAACTCCAAATGGTGGGATGTAAGATGGTGCAATGTAGGATTTTCTCTCCTTACCGTATGTTTGGGTGAAGGTTTTTGGAGGGGTCAGGAGGAGAAGACATTAAAGGGACCTGGTCTATATTTTGATGAGTAATCTTCCGGTCAGGAAATTCCTGACCGGAGCGCCATCCGGCCTCCTCCATTTGGGGGCCTTCCCGGTGGTATTTTTTGCTCAAATTTTTTGTGTGTGTTCCTCATCAAGTCTAGTTCATCCATACCAAATTTCAGCCAACAATTCAATCGGGAAGGTCATCAAATGATTTTTGCAAGTTAACTGGTCCGGAATATGTATTTTCCGGACCAGTTAACTTGCAAAAATCATTTGACGACCTTCCTGATTGAATTTTTGGCTGAAATTTGGTATGGATGAAGTAGACTTGATGAGGAACATACACAAAAAATTTGAGCAAAAAATACCACCGGGAAGGCGCCCAAATGGAGGAGGCCGGACGGGGCTCCTGTCCGGAAATTCCGGACAGGAATATTCCTGATATTTTGATATATAACATGTTTCTAGAAACGAGAAAAAGTTAATTGAAATGTCCTATGATAGCATATTATGTTAATCTTTAAATTTTTATAAAATCTCATATACAAATATCAAAATAAAAATTAAGCCCTCCATTACCATCCCGCCCAAACCCCTTAAGAACTTGATGTCCAATTTCCAAACAAACCCTTTCAAGAAACTGTCCGTGTGAAATCTTTGTGCAACTTCTTGTGCAAGAGAAAGTGTGAAGTTTTCTGCATATTCTTCTTCTTCAATGAATCATTTACAAGAAGTACATAAGCTATTTATACAGATAGGAGCCTGAGAGAGTCTATTCAGTACCCTAGGTGACTGTCTGAATACTAAACATAAATGATTATGAACTGAAAAGACAACAGCTATTAATTACAACCTGAAACTCTAAAGACTCATAATTACAGTAATAAAATCTTAAATTAAAGATGTCTCTTCGTTTTATCAACACTCCCGCTCAAGCTAGGTTTGTAGATATCCATCATGCCTAGCTTGACAATAAGACTCTGAAACCTGGGACTGTGCAAAGGTTTGGTAAACACATCTGCAACTTGATCCTCTGAGGGAGTATAGCTTAGTTCAATCAGACCTCCTTCAACCTTTTCTTTGATGAAGTGCCGATCAATCTCAATATGCTTGGTCCGATCATGTTGGACTGGATTATGAGCTATGCTGATTGCTGATTTATTATCACACATCAATTCCATTGGTCCCTTCCACCTGATTCGTAAATCTGAGAGAATAATTCTGATCCATAGAAGTTCACACAAGCCATGGGCAAGGGCTCTTAGCTCAGATTCAGCAAATGATCGTGCCACAACATTCTGTTTTTTGCTTCTCCATGTCACAAGATTTCCTGCTAGGAAAACACAGAAACCAGTAGTTGACCGGCGGTCAACGAGAGAGCCACCATAATCTGCATCAGTGAAGGCTTGGACTGATAATTGCCCACCCTTCCTGAATACTATTCCCTGTCCAGGACTTCCTTTTAAGTAGTGTAGAACCCTATAGGCTGCTTCGAGATGCGGTTTCCTTGGATCATGCATGAACTGACTGAGGACACTAACCGCATAGGCAATGTCAGGTCTGGTATGAGAGAGATAGATAAGTTTGCCACACAAACGCTGATACATTGATGAATCAACCTTGGGTTCATCAGTAGCAAGTCCAAGCTTATGATTAGGATCCATAGGTGCAGTAACGGGTCGACAAGCACTCTTACCAGTCTCATTTAGCAAATCTGTAATGTACTTTTGTTGGCTGATAAAGATGCCTTCAGATGAGCGAGCAACTTCAATTCCAAGAAAGTATTTTAGAGGGCCAAGAGACTTCATCTCGAATTGGGATTTCAGCTGCCCCTCAAGACGTTGTTTCTCAACTGGATCACTACCGGTCACAATGATGTCATCCACATATACTAAAAGAATAGTGATTCCATTTGGTTGAGAGTGTTTGTAAAAAAGAGTATGATCCCCTTGGCTTTGACTATACCCGGCAGCAAGAACAACCTGTGTGAATCGGTCAAACCAAGCACGGGGGGATTGCTTGAGACCATAAAGGGCTTTTTTAAGTCGGCATACATGTGTAGAGGCACTTATTGATGTTTTATTGAAGCCTGGGGGAATGTGCATGTAGATCTCCTCATGCAAGTCACCGTGGAGAAAAGCATTCTTGACATCAAATTGCAGTAAAGGCCAATCTAAGTGAGATGCTAATGACAGTAGGATACGAACAGTATTGAGCTTAGCTACAGGAGCAAAGGTCTCTTGATAGTCAATCCCATACGTCTGAGTGTATCCTTTAGCCACAAGACGAGCTTTGTACCGCTCAAGAGATCCATCAGCATTGTATTTGACAGTAAATATCCACCTGCAACCAACAACATGCCTCCCAGGAGGTTTAGTCACAATATCCCAAGTATGGTTCTTTTCAAGAGCTCTAATTTCCTCTTGCATAGCATCCCTCCATTCTTTCTTTCCTAATGCCTCAGAAACAGAGTTGGGTATGGGAATTTCATTAAGTCTCTGAACAAACAAGGCATGTGAAGGAGAGAAATTATCAATGGTAACAAAATTAGCAAGAGGGTATAGAGGTGTTTTGGTACATTGACGTACACCCTTGCGTAAAGCAATTGGCGGAGATGGTGGAGGAGAAGAAGAGACATTACCTGGGTCAGCCGATTGGTCATGCGTCAACAACGGAGTGAACCTATTTTTTCTTGAGTACACTTTTGTCACTGGTAGAGGAGAAGGTGGGTCATGAGTGGTGGATTTAGTAGGTGTAGGAATGGGATATTCTGGTGATGGATTTGATTGAGGTTCAGGTAATGTTGAAGACTGTTGGGAAGTAGATGAGGTTGCTGACTCATCTATAGAAGGTGATGGATGATCATGTGGCAGTGGTAATAATGGGATGTCTGGTGATAAAGGCTTAGGAGAGTAGGAGATTGTATGTGCTGGAGGAGATGTGGGAAGAGGTGAAGGATGTGGAGTATCTTGGGAAACAGGGAGAGAAGTAGGAGTGTGAAAAGGTGTGTCTTCGTGAAAGGTCACATCTGCACTGGTGTATGTCTTTCTGGTTGTAGGATTATAGCACTTATATCCTTTCTGAGTTGGAGAATAACCTAGAAAGATACACTTAATAGATCGTGGGTCCAATTTTCCCCTATGAGGTGGAGGAATATGAACAAATGCAGTACACCCAAACACCCTTAGATCAAGATCAGAAGAAATTCTGGTTTGAGGAAAGAAGCAACAGATCGTGGGTCCGATTTTTTCTTTCTGCTATGCCATTCTGTTGTGGTGTGTATGGACAAGAGGACTCATGAACGATGCCTTTTGAGAGAAAATAAGAGGAAACAGTTTGATTGAAGTATTCAAGAGCATTATCAGTGCGGAAACGTTTTATAGTGGTGGAGAACTGATTATGAATCATATTGCAAAAGATGGGAATGATGGAACTCACCTCACTCTTGTTTTTTAGCAGAAAAACCCACATAAAACGTGTACAATCATCAATAAATGTAACATACCACCGGGCACCAGATATATTAGCAATTGGAGCAGGGCCCCAGACATCACTATGTATAATATCAAAAGGAGAACAACTGATTGTATTACTTCTAGAAAAAGATACACGAGACTGTTTAGCAAGTTCACAGACATCACATTGAAATGTAGAAACATCAACACTACCAAAAAGACTAGGAAATATGGTTTTTAGGACATGAAAAGAGGGATGACCAAGCCGCTTGTGGTGAAGCCAAATAGTGTTGGTATTGGCTGTGATTGAGGTAAGAGCTTTTTGTGGAGGTTTGGAGACAAACAGTGCATCAAGGTAGTACAGGCCATCTCTTTGTTTAGCAATTCCAATCGTCCTCCCCGTGCGTAGATCCTGTAATAAACAGTGGGAAGGAAAAAAAATGGCAGCACAATTAAGATCATCAGTGAGTTTGTAAATAGAAGCAAGGTTCATAGCCAGGTTTGGGACATGTAGGGTGTTTTTCAGATTTAATTTTTCAGAAAAAACAACCGTACCAAGTCCTGCAACCTCTGTAGGTGTCCCATCAGCAGTAGTAATGTGTGTGGATGTAAAACATGGACGATAGTTAGAGAGTAAAGAGGGTATGGCAGTCATATGAGATGTGGCACCTGAGTCTAAGATCCATTGGGATTGTGAACTCTGTTCCGAAGCATTAAGACAAAAAATAGTAGAGGTTTTACCTTGCAGGGCCAAAGAGCTATGACCAGAACCATTTGAGTTATTAAGAGACTGTAGCATCATACGAAGTTGTTGTAATTCCTCCTGGGAAATGGGCAAAAGATTAGTAGAGCTCTCAACAATCGTGGGAGTGACTGAGTTGGCACGTCCAGCACTAGTTCCACGCCTGTCCTGGCCTTTTCTTTCTTTCTGTAGATGAGGATATAGTTTCCAGCATGTATCCATATTATGGTTGGACCGCTTGCAATGATCACACCATCTTCCTCCCTTACTACCCTTAGTTTCCTTGACATCTGAAGGAGTAGATTTGGCAGCAAGAGCTGTACTGTCAATCAGCTTTGTATTCATCATTATATTGCGTCTACTCTCTTCATGTTTGATAGTGGCAATGGCAGAAGATAGGGAAGGCAGAGGAGTAATGCCAAGAATTTGACCCCGAGTCTGATCATATTCGGGATTTAAACCAGACAAGAAGCAATATAGACGTTGCTGATTTATATAGCTCTGGTGAAGAGCTGCATCTGCAGCATTCGACCACTTCATTGTTTGATACTGGTCAAGTTCAGACCATCGTCGTTGGAGGTCAGTTGCATAATCTGTGACAGATTGTGAATCTTGCTTAAGGTTCGTTGTTTGGAGCCATAAGTCATAGACAAAAGCGCCATCTTTAGCAACGGAGTAGGACTGCTGTATGAAATCCCAGATTTCTTTAGCCGAGTCCATGTATAAACATGTACTGCTAATGTTGGGATCCATAGAGTCCCATAACCAGACCCGTATGTTGGCATTAGTTTTCTCCCAAATAGCAGCATCAATATCTCCTTCTTCTGGGGTAGAGACAGTGAGATAGTCTTCAAGATCTTTGCCACGCAAGAGAGTATAAACCAGCTTTGACCATCCAAGATAGTTCCTGCCATTGAGACGGTAAGATGGCGGGATAGAAGGGAGATCAAATTTCTGGTTTCGAAGAGCAAACGCGGCTGCAGTAGCAGCTGAAACGATGGTTGAGTGGTCGAGGTTACTTGAGGTTGATTCAGTTTCCTTAGACATGATAGAACCGTTGGTGAAGAGATTCGCACCCGAGGATAAACAGATAGGCGGGTAGAGACACCCTAGTAGACTGTTGGAAAGATGATTAAGAGTAAAGAGGCTGGTACGAGATCGTTCTCTGATACCATGAAGTTTTCTGCATATTCTTCTTCTTCAATGAATCATTTACAAGAAGTACATAAGCTATTTATACAGATAGGAGCCTGAGAGAGTCTATTCAGTACCCTAGGTGACTGTCTGAATACTAAACATAAATGATTATGAACTGAAAAGACAACAGCTATTAATTACAACCTGAAACTCTAAAGACTCATAATTACAGTAATAAAATCTTAAATTAAAGATGTCTCTTCGTTTTATCAACAAAGTGCAAGAGAAAGTTCACCAGCCAGACTATTGAGGATCAGAAATTAACCCAAAGGATTGATAATGGACACAGTTAGCAAATGCAATTACTGAATTTAATTTGTTCTACCAACCATCGTCACAAATCTCAACAGGTCGATTGATGTAAGAGATCTTGTCCCAACCCTCAACCACAGCGTCCACAGGTGCATCGTCTACACAATCAAAATCCTCACTAGAGCTCGAGACATACAAACGATCCGGAATTCTACCTGACATGCACAGAAAAAATAAACAGATGACAAAAACTAACCACTACTTCTAAGCAATTCCAGATTAAATATAATTGTCTTCAAAATATTTGGACAACAATTCAACACATAGTCCCGGCAAAGCAGAACTTACCTTTCTTTTTGTCATGTTAATGATATTTGCAAGTAGGTAAAGGTAACCAGCGGAGTGCGCGAGGGCAGGCTCCATGCACCTTATCATGCTCATCGATATTTTACACTTTCCAACACTTATTGACTAAAAATAATTAATTAATGATTACACTTCTACCTTCTTATTTATTAAATATATCAGTCTGTATTCAACACCAACTATCCATTCCTAGATAAATACACTCCTCATTTGATGAAGGGAAAACATTCGAGTGTTTATTTATTTAAAGGGTGATAACTAATAAATGAAGGATGTTAGAATCCAACCATTTGAACAAATTACCTTGTGAATTTGTCTCACCTTTTTTTACTACTACAGGAGCATCTTCATCACTTTTAGTACTTTGCTGACACTTGTAAGAATCCAACTTTACTGCAAAATCACCTCCATATATATTCAGCTTAAGCTTAGAAGAAACGCGGAGACAAGCAACCAAATTGCCTAGAGCAGAAGTATTTAGCAGTTAAATACTGCATTGCTGACATATCAGCATTGTCAAATTAAACCAGCAACTTATGCATTGTAGATAAGGTGATTTAAACATGGATATCTTGCAGTTTTAATCAAAGTCGCTTCTAAAGGTTTACAGAAGTGAACCCTAACAAAATGTTAAAAGACTTCATTACACGCCTTTGATAATTTTGAAATTATAATGTCACAAGCAAAATCCAGATATCCATGAAGCAAAATCTAGATATCCATAAAGCAAAATCCAGTTACCGCAGATGTTTATTTGAATAAATGTTCGTCACCAACAACTTCATTTTTTTGGAAAATGTGAAATATATTCACATGCACACAAGCACAACATGTGTGTGTATATATAGTTTCATGTAAAGGAACAATACCATTTCAGAGTTACTAACACAATCTGATAATGAAACAGGCTCCTCCTGAGCTTTGTGGCGGACCTGAAAATAGATCGTATGAGATATGATTGAAACTAAATCTTTCAACAAACACTCTCTCGCTCTTGGAGGGTAAGAACAATGTGATCGGGATGAAGCACAACATCCTTGAAAACTATAATTGCGACCTGTCAACAGTGCAACAACCAAACATGCCATCAGGTGTAACCTCAGGGGTGAAGCTCCCATCCGACCGTCACGCGGTCATATCAGCGTCGATTCACGTCCCAACAGAATCCCATCTACTAACAAGTAGGAACAATGATTGCAGCGTCCACATAGCTAAGTGTTAATCGTCTGAAATAGCTGCACAATTTTCTAACAGAAAATCCCATTTCAGCCAAATAAGTAAGAAGCTCAACTTAATCTAGAGAGTAAGCCACTAAACTTTTGGCTATAACACGAACTCTAGTAAGAACCACCATAGCACATACACGGCCTGTGACAAATCGGAAACACGGCTAGATGAGGAGCCATTCTTCAGTCCAAACTTGTGGGTAAGCTATATGCAGGAACCTTGCATAGTTTCCTCTCCTTCAAAATATCTCTCATCCTTTCCACGTCATCCCAATGACCACTACTAGCATAAATATTGGACAAAACTACATACACCCCATCACTCCAAGGTTCTAACTCTTGCAAGTGCTTAGCTGCCCATTCTCCCATTTTCACGTTCCTGTGCTTTTCACAAGCCCCCATAAGGCATCCCCAAACCACCACATTTGCCTTCATTGGCATCTCCTCGATCATTTCCCTTGCCTCTTCAAGCAACCCTACCCGCCCAAGCAAATCAACCATGCACCCATAATGTTGTAACATTGGCATGATCTTATATTCACTTTTCATCATCCTAAAATAGTGCTTTCCTTCTTCTACATTCCCACCATGCACACAAGCACTCAGAATTCCCACAAAGGTCACATGATTAGGCCTCACACCGGCTTCCCTTCTCATGCAACGGAAGGACTCAAGAGCCTCCTTCGCATGTCCATGCAGGGCATAGCCAACAATCATGGACGTCCACGATGATACATTCCTTTTTCCCATCCCAGAAAACACTCTATGGGCAAGGTCCATTCTCCCACATTTCCCATACATATCAATGAGTGAATTCATCATCAACATATCACATTTCTCAGCCACCCTCACCTGAACAACACATTTATGCAATTGCAAACCCAAACTCAGGTCCCCTAAATTCCCACAAGCAGATGTAGCACTAACCATAGTCACATCATCAGGACGAAATCCAGCCTTCTTCAACTCCATAAATATCTCAACTGCTTCTTTTGCCCTCCCTCCTTGTGCCATCCCAGAAATCATAGCATTCCAAGACCCCAACATCCTCTCACTATTTTCACCAAACACCTTCCGCGCATTCTTAAACTCACACGCTTTTGCATATAAGCTTATCAACCCACTCTCGCAATACATATTAGCGCTGAGCCCAAGCTTTAGCACATGACCATGTAGCTGTTTTGCTAAAATATAATTCGAAAGGTGAGAAACTGCCTTCAACATGATGGGCATGGTATATTCATCTCCAGCTACACCATCTCTCATCATCTCTATGAACACTTGTATTGCCTTCTTGGGAGAGTCTAGTCTTGTATATGATCGAATGATGCTGTTCCAGTAAAAGGGTGCTGTGTAAAAATCTTGAAAACGGGTCCGGATCAGCCTGGCCTGAATTTGCCCAAGTTGCAGAATGTTCATGCAGGAAGTTATATGGATCGCAACCGTGGTCGCGCAGTCCAAGTGGCATAGTGTCGTGGTGGGGGGTTGGGTCGCTCTAACTGTGGCGGAGAGTGTGTTGGTGCGACGAGAAGTGGGTTGTAGGTACTTGTACAGAGAGGTAGAAATCTTGACAGGAAAAGAGGGAATGGTGTTCATGTGCTTGAAGAAGAATATAAGCTTTGGATGTTAGGACCCAGCAACTTGATCACCCAGAGTCTTACTTATAATTGTTGCCTTATACTCATCACTTCCCAAAAGTCCCAAATTTATTTCAAAACTAAAATTGAATCTAAATTACCCAACTTTTCCCAGGGCTTCCTCAAAATAATCCCTCATTTTCTTCCATGGTCCATGACTCTGTAGTAACCCACTGAAGGGTAGCTTTTATCTAAAACTGTAGAGCAAATCTACAACATAGGTAGGATCATAGCACGCAGAGGAGGAGGGCAGAAGAGAGGAGGAGAGGGGCCAGGAAGGAGGAGTATTGCAGCAGCGTGAGGTAGCACTCTTACCTACGACCCAAGACTCATGACCCAGCAAACCTGACCCAGATTCTCCTCTCGAATCAAGGATTACACATGACGGAAACCACAACCAACCTCCGGAGAGCATCTATCTCCTACGAAGGACACCAGCAACCAATAACAACCTATGTGCAACCTCTGACATGGGCCATGAATGAAGCTTTAGAAACTTCCGATTTGATATTATGCCTTCATTGTTTTACTATTCAACCAGCCGCTATCTGTTGCTATAAACATTGTACCTTCAATGATAAAATATAATAACGATAAAACAACTAAATCTTCATCAAGCATTGCTCAATCCAAAAAAAATCCATACAAAGAACATACAGATATGGCATAGTCTCTACATTCATATTTATATAATTTTAACTGCTATAGTATATATTATAGTTTGGTTAGTTTCACTTGTAAGGGCAGTAATAACGGCCGGAGCATCAAATATAATTCAGAATGCAGCTTATTATAAAACCCCTCCCTTTCCAAATTCTGAGTGCATGCACAATCTCTTTTTACCACTCTGTTCACTATTTAGTTGTGGTAAAACTCTCACCTGATCTCCCTCTGTCAAGTGCATAAAACTAGTAGTACAGTAAGATACATGTTAAAATATATTTGTATCTTCATTCCTCTTTAATACTGAAGCTTCTACTTTGGTGTAGAGTACTAGCTAGGTGTCTAAAATTTAAGCATTTCAGTTAGCTAGGCAAACTGTTAAACCTGATACCAAAGCCTCCTTTTGTGTGTATGTGTAATGTGTGTGCAATTCAGTGCCTTTCTAGTGATTTTGTGTCTCTATTAACATTTTCTAAATTGTCCAAGCAGCCTCAAAAGGATTTCCTCTTTATGTTGATAATTTTTTTCAATTCCATTATTACTGTTTCAGCTAGAAAAATGATCATGGAGGAGTCTTTAATTATAAGCTTACCTTTAGATCTATATCTTGTAAAGTCCTAGAGAAAGAAAAGCATGTTCATGAAAATTATTAGAGTGATAGAGTAACAAAGATGTGCATAGCCTCATACACAGACATCAATATTACTTTCATGCGAAAAAGACCCAATGTTTATAAAAAAGGGGGGAAATTTTCTCATCTCTGATTACAGGTGTGTACATTCTAAAAACAGAAGATGAGTCAACCAATGTTACCATACGTGGAGATGTGGAAATAGTATGAAAAACGATGAATATTCTAATTGTTATTGGACACAATACGAATGTACAATCACTACTTCATCTACAATTGACAACAATTATCACATAGTCTGCAATTTACTGAGGATTTTTTTTTAAATTCAAGCTTCTTGAAGTAAACTAGGATAAGTTCACAACAATGGATTTATCTTTTCTATCTTCTCATTCGAGAGCACTTAATAATGTCTTCATATGAAATCTTAAATCTTTATTCATATTATCATCAAGCTACTTGAGACAACCTTAGGGTCGGTTAACAGAGCAAAATATTGTAATACAAACATCACGTTCAGACATGCACACCACAAAATGCTCGACTCCTCACTGTTTAAAACGAAGAACGTGAATGTTGAAACCCACAGTGGATGTTAATTGTCCCCGGGTATGTTTAATTTTTCCTAGCGATTGACGACTCTGGAAGGAGATCTTCTAATTGAAGAGCTTTTATTTAATTTTCCGTATAGTACAATAACAGAGAAAGAAGACAGAGCAGATGGAGTATAATAGGAAGTTGATTGGAGAGGATATAAGAGTTGTGTCAGCCAGCAATGGGTCGGAAGTAAGAATAAGATACCTCAAGAGCTGTAACCTGCGATCGACGAGAATCGGAAGTCTGCAAACAAGCGGCTAAGTGCATGTTTGGAATTGGGGCATGAGAAAATGTTTGGGCATAAGAAGCCAGTAACATTTGTACTGCTTAAAAGTCTCTAAGTTACATTTGCACTGTTTGTAACATTTGTCATTACAATTTTAAAAGTCTCTAAGTTACATTTGCACTGTTTGTAACATTTGTTATTACAATTTTTAAGAGATTTTTAAAAAATAAAAGAACTTTTTTTAGATGTTACATAGAGTAGCATCTACGAAAAGTCTATGACTTTTAGCATTAATTAGTCCAAACAATTTATATATCAAATACGGAGTATAACCAAAACAAACAGTCAGCTTTTTACAAAACTGCTACTAATTTTTTCTTTTAAGATCTTTTCTGCCACTGAAAACTAACTGTTAGTTAAAAGAATATCTTTTCAACTACCAAACATACACTCAATATAAAGTTATAAACCCTCACTGAACCACTCCTTGATCGGCTAACGGGTGCGGGTGGGTTATATTTGTTTTTTATTGATAATGGGGCGATTATAGTTTTATACACGGTTGTCCCTTTACTCGCCACTTATCTGCACCGTTTATTTTTAGTTATATTTTGATTACATTTTCCTATTATTTGTCACACAACTAATAAGATATGTGTTTTCTCTTTTCATCATGTACATACGGATGTACTAACTTTTTTTTTGAATATATATAGATCTACTAACTATAATAGATTTTAATAGTTTCGTTTAGTTATTATCATACTATTTTCTTGATTAATTATTTTTCAGTTTAAATATTTTTGGATTCAAATTAATTTAGATTGTCTTCTTTCTCGCCTTGTAGATGCACAAAACTTTCGCCTTTTAAAATATTAATTTTTATACTAAAATATTAATGACTCGTTTAACAAACCAGTTACCTCCAATTATACCTTTTGTCCGTTGGGGCGTTTTGAATAAAAGTTACTCGTTGAGTGATAGGATGGTTAAAGGGCGGAGATCGAAATTACCCACCAGGGTCGGTACTGTTTTCCAATCTGTCTCATTACCATCTCTAAGTCCTTTTCACATGCATCCGTGTTTTATATACTATTACTCCCTCCGTCCCTGAAACAACTTCTCACTTTCCTTTTCGGGCAGTACCGAAATTAACTTCTCACTTCCTTATTTGGAAAATTATCTACAACAAAACAGTGCAAAATAGTGCAAAGCAGTGCAAAATAGTGCAAAACAGTTTCAGACAGTGCCAAACAGTGTTGAAACACTGTCAAAATAGTAAATTTTACTCCCTAGAAAATTTATTTCCTTAATATGTGTGTAATTCAAAGCGCGAAGTTGTTTCGGGAACAGAGGTAGTATTTATTTGTGCACTTACATAACTCACCCAATGTGTTTGAAAGGTTATTATTTTTATTTAGTAAAATTCATAAAAATAATCCTTATTTTTCATAATAATTACTATTGAGAAATTCAAAAAAAAAAATTACTATTGAGAGTGTTCATAAATATAATATAAACAAGCCATGGTGTCAAAAAAATAAATTAGGGTGAATTCAAAGTAATGCTCATTTAATACTCTCAACCTCTACGTGACTTTCCCCTTCACTACTTTTCGTTTTGAGTTACACTTATCATTCAATCTAGAGAGAATCATATATAATGGAGATGACGTCAAGATTAAACGGACATTAATTTGAATTCACCTCGAGAAGTAGAGTGAGCGGGAAGAGAGAGCGGGAGCGGGGCCGGGTCGGAAGTATTTAACGGACATTAGTTTGAATTTGTCTCAATTTATTTATGTGAGTATTACTGCTAGTTCAGATTATTTTTATGAATAGTCTGAGTATGGATTATTATTTAGAATCCCCAAAATTATGGATTATTCTTATGAATTTCACCTTTTTATTTGATTTCATTTGAGATTTCATGAAAAGAAAAGAAAGATGTTCAAAGTTACAATGAAGTGATGCTAGGATTGACCATTTGCAGAAATGATACACAAATTAAAGTCATAATAATTTACTTGATTTAATATTTGATCATTAAAGTATCATTCAAAAGTGCTAGTTATTTTCTAAAATAGACGATGAGAGTCTTCCGTTGGGATATATAGAGGTAAATCAAATTATCATTCAAAAGTGCTAGTTATTTTCTAAAATAGACGATGAGAGGGAGTACGCGATGTAGAGGATGGGGGTGATGTGACAAAAAGTGCTAGTTATTTTCTAGTTATTTTCTAACCCCCTCCCTAATTGTTTGCCATGTGGCAAAAAAAGAAATGAAATGACAAATGGCAACATTTGAGCTATGGGGGTGATGTTCACCCTCAAGGAGAGGATGAACAAAATTACACTCCGTGATGTATATCAGAATATTTTATCAGAATGAATATGTTGTGTTTAATACTACGTATATGTTATAACTTTATAGTTGAGTGTGTATTTTACACATTTTAGAAACTTGTGATGCTTAAATTACATGTTATTATATGCATTTTTGGCTCAATAATTATTTAAACTTGTAGGTTTTGACATGTATAATCTCATTCCATCAAAATTTTAATTTCATTTACAATTCGTATTTTGATTTTCAAATAATAATAATATATAGTAATCTAATTTTTTTAATCAAAAATCACCGACTGTTAAAAGATCACTCTGAGACGCCTATAGGATTCAGGGTCAGATAAAAGATCACTCTGAGACAAGGCCAAAGAATGATTCTGCTCCATAGGAAAAGCGGCGGGTTTCGCCCCCAACAAACCTGCTTCAGAGATAATATCCAGAGTGTATTTGCGCTGACAGAGATAAATCCCATCATTACTACGAGCAACCTCGATCCCGAGAAAATATTTAAGAACTCCCAGATCTTTCATATGAAAACACTTGTGCAAATAGGATTTAAACTCAGAGATGGACGAGGAATCATTGCCCGCAATAATTAAATCATTAACATAGACAAGAATGTATAACTGGGAGGTGCCACGGCGTAGAGTAAACAGAGAGTAGTCAGAAGAAGATTGCAGAAAATCGTAGTGTTTCAAGGAAGCAGCCAATTTTGCAAACTAGCACCTGGGAGCCTGGCGAAGACCATATAAAGATTTCAGGATACGACAAACCTGGCCAGGCCGAGAGGGATGAAAGCCCGGAGGCGGCTTCATGTAAACTTCCTCGTGCAAATCACCATGCAAAAATGCATTGTGAACATCCAGTTGATGTAATTCCCAGCGTTTAGCAGAAGCCACAGCGAGAAACATACGAACCGTAACCATTTTGGCCACGGGAGCAAAGGTCTCAGTGTAGTCAATACCCTCTCGTTGGTGATTACCAAATACAACAAGACGAGCTTTAAGACGTTCAACAGTTCCATCAGCATGATATTTAATTTTGTACACCCACTTACATCCGAGAGCTTTCTTGCCCGGAGGAAGTATAGCCATGTCCCAAGTATGATTATTCTCAAGAGCAAGAATCTCACGTTGCATAGCCTCACGCCAACCAGCATCAGTCATAGCTTCCTTGAAAGAACGTGGTTCCTGACCTGCAAGAAGTGCTCCGAGAAACAACTGATGACAAGTAGAGAATTTGTCACTTTTAATAAAATTAGCTATAGGGTATGGCGTACCTGAGGAACTGACAGAAGAGGGAATCAACGGGGATGGGCTTATTTGCTGGACAAGATGAGTAACAAAATCACGCAGTAAAACAGAAGGCCTCCTGGTGCGAAGACCTCGGCCAAGATTGGGAGCAGTCGGCGCAGTAGATATATCAACTTGGGAGGATGTGGATTCGGCTGGGGTTGGATCAGCCTCTACTGGAGGTACTGCTGCTGCATCAGGATCAAGTAGGATAGAGGGTTCAGGCACATGAGGATCCCGGTCCGTCGGTATAGGAGCCAAAAAGGGAAATTCGGTCTCATGAAATACTACATCACGGGAGATAAAAATTTCCCCAGTTATCCAATCATATATCTTCCACCCCTTGGTGCCGTGTGGATATCCCACAAAAACTCCTTTTCTGCTACGTGGTGAGAATTTATTTTCTCGGGATTTAACATTAATTATGAGCATAGCAAAGACAACCAAACACACGTAGGTAAGCAAAATTGGGGGGTACACCATGCAAGACCTCATATGGGGTTCGGCCACTCAATAAACCCGATGGTGTACGATTTATGAGGTGAACCGCCGTGAGAACACATTCACCCCATAAACCAAGCGGTACATTAGCCTGAAACATTAGAGCACGCGCGACATTTAAAATGTGACGATGTTTACGCTCCACTCTCCCATTTTGTTGAGGTGTATAAACACATGAGGTTTGGAAAAGAATACCTCGTGCATTAAAATGAGGCAACATGCATTTAAATTCAGTCCCATTATCACTTCGCACAGTTTTTACAGACACATCAAATTGCTGAGCAACCATAGCAAGGAAAGATAAAAAGTATCCATGAACCTCCTTTTTATCCCGAAGTAGATATACCCACACAGCCCAGGAATAATCATCCACAAGAGTCAAAAAATAAATTGCATCACAAGTTGAAGGAGTTTTATAAGGTCCCCATAAATCACAGTGAATAAGCTCAAAAATCCTACTAGCTTTATTGTCACTAATAGGAAAAGAATCACGTGTTTGCTTTGCTTGCGGACATATGTCACAAGGTTTATTTAATTTTTTCTGTGAATTACTAGAAATAACAGCAGGTAGTAATTGAAGAACCCGGTCAGATGGATGACCCAAACGGCGATGCCATAATTCAAACAGAGATAAAGTAGGTGACGGATGAACATGATGCAAAGCAGGAACCCTTCTGAAGAAAAATAGCCCATCCCGTCGTTCACCTGCTCCAATCAGGTTCCTCGAGCGTAGGTCCTGTATAGCACAAAAATTATTATTAAATGTGACAATGCCAGCAGACTGATCTGTTAATTGCGAGACAGAAATAAGATGACAATTGAGGCCTGGCACATAAAGAACATGATCCAATGTTAATGTCTCCGATAATGGCACACGGCCAGTCACAATTGCCTCAACCGTGCGGCCATCCGGCAATCCCACCGGACACGAAGTAATACGTGCTGGATTAACGAGACAACTGATATCACCTGTCACATGATGTGATGCGCCAGTATCGATGATCCAATTAAGAGAAGAATACATACCCGACATGCGGTCACATGAGCGAGTTTCGGCGTTAATTAAGTTCAATAAAGCCTGCACCTGCTCAGTAGTCAAATTGGCCAAACTGGTTATGCCTGCCGCAGAGGATGAAGACCCTTCCCCTTCTGGCAGCAAAGCCGGAGCTACTGCGTGAGTACGTGCACCTCCCCCACACCCGGAAGATTGTGTTTTGCCTTTGTTTCGTTCCTCCCACCAGTCGGGATACCCAATTAATTTGAAACATGACCCGACATCGTGACCTTTCTGTTTGCAGTGGGTACAAACGGACCGAGATCGGTCAGTCTTCTCCGGTCGTCCTTTGGGTCCGCGGTCAACCTGCAGGGAAAAAGCAGCAACTTCAGTCGAGGTTGCCTTTCCACGTGCTATGGCCCTGGAGTTTTCTTCCTGCACAAAGGCATGATGCGCACGATTCACATCGGGCAGAGGGTTCTGGGATAGCAAATTAGATCGGACGGTCCCATAAAGTTCATCATCGATGCCTACTAAAAACTGATGCAGCCGTTCTTCCTCTCGATCAGCAGCTATTTTGCCAACAACATTGCACGTACAGAGACCACACGAGCAAGCAGGCAATGGTTCCAATCGGTATAGCTCATCGTAAAGCCCCATCAACAGAGTGTAGTATGCATCGACGGACATTCCTTTGGTTTGTTTACAACCTGTGATGGAAGCCTTTAATTGCTGCAAACGAGGTCCATTCGCCACACTAAACTGTTTCTCCAAATACACCCACAAAGTCTGGGCTTCTTCGTGATACGGTATAGATGCGGCGACCACCGATTCCATGCTCCGAAGCATCCATGACACAATCATGGAGTTATTTGCGTCCCAATCAGATTGTCTTGCTGCCTCGGCCGGTTTTTTCAACGTTCCGTCGACGTATACATGCTTCCGACGAGCCTTCAAGGATAAGAAAAATGCACGTGACCAAGCCACGTAATTATCTCCCTTAAAGATAACATGCGTTATTAGGTTTCCCGGCTGGTCTCCGGGTCCAAGATAGTATGGGGAAGAAGAGTCCACCATGATCGCCGAGCTTCAGCACGCTGGTGCCTTTTTCCGAAGTCGGCGTCGCTGGGAACGAAAGGGTTAAGCAGCCTGTTTTACAGGCTCTGATACCATGTTGTGGTAATTCACTCGTACGAAGCAATAGTTGGAAAATATGGGTTTGTTTATTCATTATGTTAAGGGGTTATTTATACAAGGAGAATACAACAAGTGAGCCCTTGGCCCATGTACAAAGTAATACACAAAGAATACATGAATGGGCTAAACCCAACTACGGTTAACACCGACTAGTTGACACAAATGATCCTCTATTTTTAACCACCGAAATGCTTTTTGTGTTAATATTATCAACGCAAAAAGAAATTTTTATTTGGACCTATTAGAAAATTGGTTTACGAATTAATATTTCGCCGGAACTAAAATATATGTAAGAGGTCCACTCATTTATGGTGGGATCAAGACCCACCCATGTACCCCAGGTGAACGTTGTCATTATTAAGTTGTGGAAACTCATTTTGAAATAAATAGAAATTGTTCCGTGAAGTCTCTCCAAAGCAAGTTTTGTATAGGAAACTTCTCACATGTGATGACATGAAAAGCAATTAGTCTTGCCCATTTTTTAAAAATCTACACTATGACTAATCACGAAGTGTGATGACATACTTTGTATTAGGAATTATGAGTCTTGAGGGAGTGTGAGGGTAGGATGTTTGATTATCTGCTTCTATGAAATTCATCTAAACATTCTCCTTTAAAATAGTGTTTTAATTGCTTTTAAAAAAAAGGCCCGACCCGCTATTTTCCGATTCTGGGCCGGTATCGGGTATCCAAGCAGTCGGGTCCCGCTCCCAGATCCGGCCGCGTTATATTTTTTTACCCGGCTTGAAGCTAACAAAAATTGTCCGTCTAGTACTGAAACCGAGACAGCCCAGCTTGGTCTCAAATATTGGAAACCGGGACCATGTATCCCTTTTACTCGGTCACCTGGCCTTGACCCAGGACCGGAAAACCGGATCCGGTTCGGTGCCAAATAGTACCGTAGCCGGTTCCGGACCAGGCCAGACAGCTGGACCAGGTTCATCCTATACCGCTGGGCGTTGGCTTCCATGATGTGCGTAAAAGGGAAAATGGAACAGGTAGTGAAACGGAGGGTAGTTGGGTGCATAATTGTTCTCTCCTCAATTATGAACAGCCAGAGAAGGTTTACCAGTCTATGCACTTGCGTCCTGCCACATTACTAAACACGGTTTTGCTCTAACAAAGCAGCTGAAAAATGCAAAAGATCATTTCACACTATATATATAGAGAGAGAGTACTCTTCCGGTCAGGAATTCCTGACCGGAACCGCCGTCCGGACGGCGGCGTTTGGCCGCCTTCCGAGTGAAATTTTTCGATGAAATTTTAATGACATGTTTTTCATCAAGTCTAGTTTATCCACAAAAATTTTCAGCCAAAAACTCAAACGGGAAGGTCGTCAAATGATTTTTGCAAGTTAACTGGTCCGGAATATGTATTTTCCGGACCAGTTAACTTGCAAAAATCATTTGACGACCTTCCCGAATGAGTTTTTGGCTGAAATTTTTTGTGGATAAACTAGACTTGATGGAGAACATGCCATAATAATTTCATCAAAAAATGTCACCGGGAACTCGGGAAGGCGGCCAAACTCCACCGTCCGGACGGCGGTTCCTGTCCGGAATTCCGGACATGAATAAAATTCTATATATATATAGATATATATAGATATATATATATATATATATATAGATTTTGGTTCAGGTGAGAAATGCATCTAATGTGAGAAATGAGAATGAATCTCAGTCATTGGATTTACGAAGTTGCACTAAAATTGGCTTTATGTTGCAGTAATATTTAAATTTTGCACATGTTGCACTAAAACTGTCTCATGTTGCACTAATATTTGACGGCATTGCACCGAAATAGCTTGATGTTGCACTAGACACGTGTAATACGGAATTTTCAGAAGTATTTACAGAAATGCCACCGTGCTAGATTGCATATTTCAGTGCATCATGAAGTGTCTTTTACTGCAACTTAGTCGAATCCAATGGCTGAGATTCATTCTCATTTCTCATTTCACATTATATATATATATATATATATACAGAAATGCTCAGGTCCCTCCGGAGGGACGGGAGCAGCCGTCCGAACTTCACTGTTTGGGGCGGTTCCCGGTGGAATTTTTTGATGAAATTTTTTGAGCATGTTCCTTATCAAGTCTAGTTTGTCCATACCAAATTTCAGCTCAAAATTCGACCGGGAAGGCAGTCAAATAAATTCTTGAAGCTTACTGCACATTCTGCGCATATATAAAGTGCATTAAGTTTTAAGAATTTATTTGACTGCCTTCCCGGTCGAATTTTGAGCTGAAATTTGGTATGGACAAACTAGACTTAATGAGGAACATGCTCAAAAAATTTCATCGAAAAATTCCACCGGGAACTGCCCCAAACAGTGAAGTTCGGACGGCTGCTCCCGTCCCTCCGGCTGGACCTGAGCAGTCCTCTATATATATATATATATATATATATATATATATAGGGGTGAGATCACATACAAACTAGTCTTCCCATGCTAACCTACAAACTATCACAAACTGTGCATCTTTACATTATTTGTACTGCATATTGAAGTTCAAAGTGTTGCATATTATTTGTACTGCATATTAAAGTTCAAAGTGTTGCATATTATTTGTAATGCATATTGAAATTCACAGTGTGCATCTTTACATTATTTTTACTGCATATTGAAGTTCAAAGTGTTGCATATTATTGAGTTTGTAGGTTAGTATTTTAAGCATGGTTTGTATTTGATCTCTTACCTATATATATATATTGAAGTGCCTTGCTGCTTCAGAGCAGAAGAAATCAGCTTCTTTCCATTACATATCATGAGTCATAACGGTTTTACGAGATGGATAAAACCAAGAGGCTTATCACTTAAAATAAACGTTTGCTGTTGATGAGGCACGACTAGAACTCAAAATAGCCTCCTTCATGTCTGCTTTCTCCCTGGACTGGAACCTTTTGCGACATAAAATAAACACCTTCTTACATGTTGGGAAGCAAGCTATGAGTCACATTATAAATTGCACTTCAGATTAGGACCCTGAGAATAAGTTGAGCTTTAAAGTTTGAAGGGCATTGTGTCTGTAATGTAGATTGAGATGTCCTTCCAAAAGATCGGAAACACTCTCACTACAATCAGGGGAGTCTGGCTCACGAAGCTACAGAAAAAAAGATGAATAAGATCGACTCGGCATTTAAACATAAAGAATAACAAATTGAATCTGTGATGGGCAGTCAATACTAAAAAATTCATGTGTGAAAAGTGAAAACAAGAATTACCCGAAAACATATCTCAAGTTTGCATAATTTTGGGCAACATCGCAGCAAACTCACAAACTTGGAGTTACTATCTGAATCAGGAGAATAGTCACCGGAGAGGTTTAAGTATTTCACGTCTAAAGTTGGCATTTGAAGTCTCATTCTAAAGTCATCAACAACAGCCTTGCAAAACAATACAATGAAAATTGGATCATTTGCTATAAACATTTTAATTAAAAGAACAATCTGTGTGAAACTTATGGGCTTAGAACACATGCCCCAATACCATCACAACACAAATGAAGTGCACAAATAGATCCCAAATCCATGTTCGCTGGGAGAAAACCACTCGGTTTGACTTCTCCATTGAGAGGGTCATAGCAAAACATATCGCTATCATCACATCCACTATCACTATTGTCATTGTAATCCCATTCATCATCATCGTCCTCTTCTTCGGACACAAGGAGTTCAAATAGTCTCTTTTTGAATTCATTTATATAATCATTTCTGTAGCGGTAGTCATCATCTTCATGGTAGTAATCATCATCATCACTATCAGTTTGGTGGTCATTGTCATTGTCACGATCACGGCCAATGTAACATCCTTTGATTGATAAAATACCAAGTTTCGGAGCAGTGATGTTGAAATGAGAGATGTCTTTACATCTTCTAAACATCATTTTTTGGAGCATTGGAACATCAGTAGCGTGAAGTTGAGGACTCCTAGGGCTGAAGTCAACATAACTAAAGCAAAAAGAAGTAACATTTGGAAATATGCAGCGGGCCTTTAATCCTTTATCGGGTCAATTTTGACACCACAAGCTTGCACAATCTTTAGTGTAGTGCATCTAAATATGCAAGCAGGCAGCCTGTATTTGATAGGATCATCGCTATATATCTTAATGTAGAGTTCTTGAACACCTTTTTTCGTCACAGAAAGGAACAACTTATCAAATTCCCGTCGATATACTTGGAGACTAAAATAAATGCCAAATTTTTTAATGCTTCAAGTGTGCTTCTTGAGGTATTCGTCTATGATATCAAGCCAAGTGGCTGGGTCATCGTCATAATCCGAGTAAATGTTATGATGGAAGGCATCGTCAAAATCAAGTTTGGTAAGATTGTACCAAGCATCTCTCCAAACAGTGGATAAGACTGCGCATGTAGCTGCTTCTCTAATCCACAATAATCCCAGAATCTTGTCAAGTATATCTGCAGGCAGTTCACTTATTCTATCTGGCTCCTCCATAACCACATAGCTTAACATAAACAAGCCAAATACATAGCAACAATTAATTTGTATACAGATAGCTTAACTATAAAATTGTTGAACTAAGGTATAAATTGCAAGGGTTAGTTGTGAGCAGAAGCAGGGAATTACACATATCAGCAAAAAGAAGATATCCCAAATCGGATTCTCATATAGAATTTCAGGAGTTCTATTTTGTTCACCCCTTCATGGAGGGTGAACATCACCCCCTCCCTCCAACACATGACACTTGGCATCACACTTGCAAAAGTCTTGCCAAGTGTCATGTGTTGGAGGGAGGGGGTGATGTTCACCCTCTATGAAGGGGGTGAACAAAATAGAACTCGAATTTCAGAGGTATACATGTTATATCGCCCATGGGCCCACAAATTTGCAGGACGGGCCCTGCTAATGCTTCAAAGGAGAATACCATATTTGGTTCGGCCAAAGACAATTTAGAAAAGATGCAACTAATGCAAGAGGCTCAAATCAGCTAACTGGTCCGATAGACCGTTCATTAGAGTTTTCATTTAACAGTATAAATCACATGTGACAACATAAGATATTTTAATATATGGGATGGTGAAATAAACCCTGGCCTCTCTTTCACTCTTCTTTCTAGGGTGTTATTTTTCAGCTTCTTTGTTGCTTATCAAATGTCAAAAAAGTTATTTGGAATGCGTATGAGCACTGATTTATTCGCTAGTATGTCTAGGGTTTTTATTATTCTGTCAATTTCGATAGTTACTTCAGGAGTAATTTCTCCTCAAGTTAATGATGTTATAATGTTGTTTGAGTGCTATTGAAGACACTCTTCTAGTCGTAGATCTACTTTTCTTAAAGATCATCTTATTTCTCAAATCGTCTATGGCACTATCGATGGCCCTAACCCCTCCCGAACCACCACCATTAATTGGAATGGTAGATATATATGGGAAATTGCCTTACATAGGAGTAAACAGTGTTTGAAATTCCAAAATAGGATTGTTGTGTTTTTCTATCGATATAAGAGTTGTTACTTCCATGATTGAAAAATAATGTTATGATTGAAAAATATTGCAGTTAATGATAGTGAATATTGTCATGTTTAATATATACTACTGCAACTATTTGGTGGTAATGACTAGAAGATGACAATATATAATGTCATGTTACTCCTAATTCGAGAAGAAAAATATAATAGTCCTATTTTGGAATTTCAAAACTTATTTAGTCCTATTACAGGAACTTTCTCATTCTATATTTTTATCACTCGTGTGTTTCAGATTGGAATAAAAGTCATTGATGTTCTGTGGGCGATACATACCTACAGGTCTATTGGAATTGGGCGAGGGCACACGATTGTACAAGGATGGCTAGTTTCAAGCGTATTTACAATTTCATTTATTTATGCTCCTTTAATTATTCGTTGTTCATTCTTCTTGAATTCTTTTAGAGAAATTGTAGGTTTTCATATCAAGTTAGAATAGAGATCAACAAGGCAAATTAAACTTCCATTTGTCTGTTACATGGTTATTGACTTTTGCGACTCATTTGTGGGTGGTATAGTCTAAGTCTAATCATTGATCTTCTTATTCGAGCGGGTATTATCTTGAGTACTCTATTGTAATGATGTTAGATTTATTTATTTCAATATAAGTTATTTCCATTCAAAAAAAAGATTAAAAGCCCTATAAAAAATGCATTTGTAGTATGTAGAGTGCATATAAAGTCGGGACTGTGGGAGCAACTGCCCCCTCAACCCCTATATATAATCTAAAATTTTATTACAAATTGCTCAAAATAGTACTCCCTCCGTCCCGCTAAGATTGTCCCATTTTACCTTTTCGAGAAGTCCCACTAAGATTGTCTCATACCAAATTTGGTAAAGATTGTGTGGCTCTAAACCATTCTTACTTTATTCTTACTTTATCAATTTAATATCAACCACATAAATCCACTCTTCTTAATAATCGTGTCACCTTCTTCCGTCCCAATCTTAGTGGGACGGAGGTAGTAGTTAGCACTAGAAAAATTATAAAATAGAGCTAAGTTTTTTCTTCCTCAAATATAGAATTTATGTAATCTTGTTAAAAGAATAAATAGATAAAATTCCGTAAATAAAAGTGCATGCGTCTGACTTTGTGAAGAAAACAATAATACTTCTATTTGAGAAAATGTGTTATGTTTAACTTCTATTTACGAAATCTCTCAAAGTTTATCTATATTTACAATTTTGCGCACGCATAATATAAAATATTCTTTTTTATACATAGTTGTGCATTTATAACTTAAACTAATTTTAATCAAACAATATTTTTATGAAATGTGTGGCTAAATTGGAGTCCAAGTTTGTCTCCACTCAGAAAATTTTCTAAATTAGCCTTGTAAGATAGACACATCCGATCAAACTTGGCAGCCGCTTCATTATCATTTATCAAGCCTGATGGGTTGATAAGCTTTTTTTCTAAAAGCCGTTAGCTTTTAATGAAGAATAGCTCCACTTCTTCTGAATGGATTACAATATCTCTAGTTTTAAATTTATTCATGTTCCTCTCAAGTGTGTGTTGTACTCTAAGTTTTGGCAGTAATATATTTTTCATGTTAAAACCTTTGGTCCTTGTTGCCCAAAGTAGCAACTATTTAACGCTTAAAATGCTTTTGAAGGACTGAAGGAGATAAACAAAATGATAGGTGTTGTGAAATGAAGAAGATGAAGACGAAATAAAGAGATAGATACTTCGTATATTGATAAAAAGCTCTAAATAACTTCTTCTTAATAATCTCTGAAATTTTCTGAGTTTCTGAATTCCTTGAATTAATTTACAAGACCTCATCAAGCCACTATTTATACTGGTTGAGCTTGATGATGAGTCACTTATTTGATGAGTCTAAACATTTGGTGGCAATAGCATATTAAACCACCTGTTCTAACTAGGTTACAAGGATCATTACAAGGATCAGGAAAAGCTTGGTGTCCTAATGAGTATGCTGCTTACAAGGATGAATAATTCACAAACATGTTATTCCCAGGATTTTACAACACTCCCCCTTGAATGTTCATCCTTCAATAGTTATTTTGTTATTATGAAAAATTAGTGTGAAAGTTAAGGGGTAAAGATTACGACATATAATGTCGTATTTGGATGTACTGTCTCGTTAAAAACCTTATCAGGAAAAACCCAGTGGGATAAAAACCTGATGAAGGGAAAAAGAGTGCAGTGCATTCAAATACTCCCCCTGAAATTAACATAAATTTTGAAGGCGGTGCATGCCGATTTTCTGTACAAGTTCTGTGAACTTCTTCGGGGGTAAAGATTTGGTGAAGAGATCGGCTGGATTTTCACTTGATCTGATTTGTTGAATGTTGATCGTCCCATCTTTCTCCAGATCATGAGTAGAGAAGAATTTTGGTGATATGTGTTTTGTTCTGTCTCCTTTGATATAGCCCTCTTTAATTTGAGCTATGCATGCGGTGTTGTCTTCATAGATCAAAGTCGGGTGACAAGTAATAGGCTTTATACCGCATTCATTTTGGATGTGTTGAATCATAGATCGCAGCCACACGCATTCCCTCCCGGTTTCATAAAGTGCAATTAACTCCGAATGATTTGATGATGTAGCTGTCAATGTCTGTTTCATAGATCTCCACGAGATTGCGGTATTACCATAAGTAAATACGTACCCGGTCTGTGATTTTGCCTTTTGAGGATCTGATAGGTATCCAGCGTCTGCATATCCGATTAAAGAAGCTTTTGCATCTTTGTGGTAGAATAGGCCGAGATCAACTGTACCACGGAGATAACGGAATATGTGCTTGATCCCGTTCCAATGACGTCTTGTTGGACATGAGCTGTACCTAGCTAATAAATTTACAGAAAATGCAATATCTGGTCTAGTATTATTAGCTAAATACATTAAAGCTCCTTTAGCACTGAGATATGGTACTTCGGGACCAAGTATTTCTTCGTCGTCTTCTCGGGGACGGAATAGATCATCGTGTATGTTGAGAGATCGAATGACCATTGGTGAAGTCAAAGGATGAGCTTTGTCCATATAGAATCTCTTCAACACTTTCTCGGTGTAATTGGATTGGTGGATGAAAATTCCATTCTTCAAATGCTCAATTTGAAGTCCGAGACAAAATTTGGTTCTCCCGAGATCTTTCATTTCAAATTCTTTCATAAGATATTTTGCAGTATTTTCAATTTCATCGGGAGTTCCAATAATGTTTAAGTCATCAACATATACTGCAATTATGGCGAATCCAGAATTTGATCGCCGAATGAAAACACATGGACTAATTGGATCATTCTT